GCGATGAGGGTCCCCCCGGCGAGGCTGCGGTGATGGGGGGGATCATGCGGGGGCTGGAAGTGCACAGGGGGGGTCGGGGACGGGGGGGCTCTGCTCCCCCCGAGTAGGGCGCGATCTCTGCCTCAGTTTCCCCCTGTGCAGCACCCTGGGCTGTCCCCTTGCAGGGTGGGCCCCCCCTGCTTACAGCCCCCCCATATCGAGCTGCACACAGGGACACCCCCACGGAGTGCGTGACCCACTCCTCAGCCCCTCACTTGGGGTCCCCCAAGCCCTGCATCCCCCGGGACGTGGGGCTCCCCCATCCCCGCAGCCCCCCCTGGAGCACGGGGGATCCCTACAGCCCCCTCCCCGCAGATTTCAGGGCCACCCCCAGCCTGCCCCGTGCCCCCGCAGGATCCGGCCTCGGAGCCAGCGCCGCCGTCACCATGGGCAACATCTTCGGGAACCTGCTGAAGAGCCTGATCGGGAAGAAGGAGATGCGGATCCTGATGGTGGGGCTGGACGCCGCCGGGAAGACCACCATCCTCTACAAGCTCAAACTGGGGGAGATCGTCACCACCATCCCCACCATCGGTGGGTGGGGTTGTGGGGGCACCGAGCGCGGACCCCTCCCCATCAGGGCTCCTCCGAGGGGGCTCGTGGCTCCCTGTGCCTCAGTTTCCCTCTGCTGTCGCTGCCCACAGGGTTCAACGTGGAGACGGTGGAGTACAAGAACATCAGCTTCACCGTGTGGGACGTGGGTGGGCAGGACAAGATCCGGCCCCTCTGGAGGCATTACTTCCAAAACACCCAGGGTGCGTGTCCTGGGGGGACACGGGGTGGGGGACACGGGGGTGAGGGCGGCCGAGGGGGCCCCGCCAGCACCAGGGACCCCACCAGTGCCTGCTCCTGTCCCCCAGGGCTGATCTTCGTGGTGGACAGCAACGACCGGGAGCGGGTGAACGAGGCGCGGGAGGAGCTGATGCGGATGCTGGCGGAGGATGAGCTGCGGGACGCCGTCCTGCTCGTCTTCGCCAACAAGCAGGTGGGTCTGGGGGCGGGCAGGGCCCCCGTGGCAGGGCTGAGACCGTCCCCAGGGCGTCAGGGCTGTGCCAGGAGTGTGCCCATCCCCGGGGTGTCAGGGCTGGTATCTGGGTGGCTGTTCCAGGAGCCCACCCCTGGGGTGTCAGGGCTGGTATCTGGGTGGCTGTTCCAGGAGCCCATCCCCA